CGCGCGTCGGGCCCCTACTGGCCTTTGCCACCTGCTTTTGCAGCTCGCGAAGCCTCAGTATTTCCTCCCAAGCAGGTTTTGGGGGGATGTAGCGCTCCCCGGCTCCCCTCGACATCCCTGAGCAAGCAGTCAGCTAAAGCCGTCCTGGAGCAGCCCCGAGGAGCAGCCAAGCTGATTCCTTGCGGGAGGAGTTGCTCATTCCGGCTGTGTCTGCTTGCAGGTGGAAAACCAGAAGGGAGTTGGCTTCGGAGCCCAAGGGAAGGCCGGCAAGAGGCAGTCCAACGAAACATACCGTGACGCCGTCCGGAGGGTCATGTTTGCCCGCTACAAGGAGCTTGAGTGAACGGCGGAGGCTGCGCCAGGCCTGTCCCTCTCCATCTCTGTCTCTCTCTCTCTCTCTGTGTCATGTTTTCTTGGGGGTTGGGGTTTTTTTTTGATTTTTTTTTTGAATTGTTAAAGGTTTTGCTGCTAGAATTTTTTTTAATAAAACTGAAAATTTGTCAGCGATGTTTCACCATCTCCTCCCTAAAATGGCGTGTTCTTAGAAGCATGTGGTGTGTCAGAAGATTCCTGTCCTCTTTTCCCCCTCTGCTGCTGAGGCTCTGGTGGCTCCGCGTTGCCATCACCGGTGGGCAGCTCCGTGACCACCGCTCACTGTGGTAGGTAGGACACGTTCGAGCCAGCTCCCAACTCCACTGGCCCAGGCAGTGTGGGGGGACCAGACAGCAAAGGTGAGTCCAGGTAAGGGAGGACAGTGGTCCAGGCGGGAGAAAACCTTGCAGCAACTTGGCAGGAGGGCATTGGGCGGGTGCTGCCCACTAAATATCCCAAAGGAGGGAAAACCAGGGATTGCAACCAGGATCTGCAAGATCTGGAGGCGAAAGGTCACCCGCAGTGGGTGATACCTCCCAAAGGGAGCAGGAGCCCCTGGAAGCTCTGGTTTGTCATCACCAAGGAAGGAGAGCCCGGAGAGGTGCAGAGGACCTGGTCCCCAGGACGACCCCGCTCCTCAGCAGCCACCGTGCCGCAGCAGTCTCCCCGGGGACATGTTGTGGTGCTTGTGAGTACGTGTGGGAACCTGTGTCACATCGTGGTGCTTGTGAGTACATGGAACACACGTCACACCTGGTGCTTGTGTGTGGAACATGTGTCATACGTGCTTGAGTACGTGTGGAACAGGCATCACACATGGTGCTTGTGAGTACGTGTGGAACGTGCATCACGTGGTGCTTGTGTGTCGAACACGTGTCACACGTGCTTGTGAGTACGTGGAATACGTGTCACGTGGTGCTTGTGAGTATGTGTGGAACATGCATCACACATGGTGCTTGTGAGTGTATGGAACACACGTCACGTGGTGCTTGTGAGTACGTGTGGAACCTGTGTCACGTCCCACGGCAGCCGAAGCCATGTGGCAGCAGTGGGTGCTGCACACAGGCAGCGCTTGTTCTGCGCGTTGGGACGAGATGGGGCAGGATGCGGCGGGAGGGAAGAGGTGAGGATGTTTGTGATGCTGCTGTGGTCCGCTGGGCAGGAGAAGGCCCTGATGTTCTGGCCAGCTGCAGGCTGGGCTGCCCACCAGGGAACACGGCACGTGGAAGTGCGGGATGCACAGGGGAGGGATGGGCACTGCCCCGTCCTGGGCATGAGCTCCACAAGCAGGTGCCCTCGCTGCATCCCTGAGGCAGGAGAGTGCAGGAAGGAGGTGGGCGCACGAGCGGAACCGGAGGGTGGGAAGCAGCAGTTGCAGCAACGAGAGGGCCGAAGGAGCCTGTTGGTGCTCTCAACTGCTCAAGTTATTAACGGTGGGAGGGCAGGAGGCCCCTCTGCCATCTCCATGGGGCATATCCCAAATTGAGTCATTGTCATCCCAGGAACATAATTCCTGAGCAAAATAGGAAGGAGCCTTTGCAACCACCAACGGGGTGAGCCCTTTCTTACCTTTCGGATCACTTTGCAGCACGTGTATCACAGGGGAAGGTTTTTAATAAAGACTGGCTTCCTTTGGACATACGGCCTCACTAAGCAGGCTGTGCTCTCCGCCTCGCCTCGCTTTAACGTGTTCTTGCTTGTGCTCACGGTGATGTGTGCGTGCAAGAGGACAGAGGCAAGGCCGTGCTTGCTTAGAATAAAAGCTTGCAAAAGTTAGAAGGAAAAAAAAAGAGGAGGAACAGACTGCAGTGAAAAGAGGGGAAGAGAAAACAAAGTAGCAAAACAAAAGCAACAAAAAAATCCAGTCACATGATGGCCATCTCCACCCAAGAGAAACCCTTTTTCTCTCTGTGGAGATGATGCACCTCCCGTTATTGGTATTAGTCACAGAAATCCTGGCTGTATTTGCTTTCATTGTTTTGAGAATTAGGAAAAAATATTAATTTTTGCGTCTTTAGATGTTGGCACAGCATTGTGTGACTAAGAGAAGTCTGTGATGTGAAGGGGATGTGTCTTGTGACTGGAATGTGGCTCTTGTTCCAACCGAAGAGATTGTCCCAGCACTCACTGAAAAGCAAGCTAATCTGGAGGAATTCAGTAAAGGGGCTGGAACAGGAGCTGCAGGAGTCTTGGAGGTTTTAGGTACTAGGGAACCTCATTTTGTAAGAGGTAACTAGAACCATGCACCACTTTTGGGCTGTTTTAGGCCCAAACAGGAGGCAAAGTTGCCATTCTGGGGCCAGGGAAGCCCAGACAGGGCACTTCTGTTCATCTTGGAGCTCCACTAGCTGCAAGGCTGGTGTGCTGGGGGGCTGCCCTGGGCATCTGAGACCAGCTCTGGAATGAAAGGTACATTTTCCTTTCCTTTCCTTGGGAAAAGCAAGCAGATATTCTTTGATTTCCACTACTTACTCATATTAAAACAATATTAATATTTATGATAGTGATTTATGACCTTGCAAATGGAACAAATGGATATAAAAATGCTGAAGTTATTTTTACAATGCTGCTGAAAGTGTAAGGAAAGAGCAAGGTGGGAAGAGGGAAGCATCCTTAAAGGAGAGGGAGAGAGAAAGAAACCAGCGGGGACACCTTGTGTCCAAGGAGGGTTTTGAGGTTTTGTTTTAACTGGACTACATGAACAGCATGCTTCTTACTAAATATTTTCAAGCACATGGTAGGGCTGTGCCTTAAAACACAGTTTATTAGAGAAAAGAAGATAAAATGAAATCAGAACTTTAAGTTAAGAGGAAGAAAGTGGGTGCAGAGGAGCAAGACGCTTGAGGTTAGGCTTTTACTGCAAGGGTTTTACAGGTTGAGCAGCGGCAGGGCCTCTCTTTCAGAAAGCTGCTTTTGCTCCCCAAGTTCTGCCCTAGGCTGAACCACCCGTCCTTTCTATGAAGGAATGGGCTTCGTTTTACAGTTACCAGCTGTTAGCATTTAAAATTGGCATCATCAGTAAATATTGTTTTAGTTCAAAATTACCAGAACAAGGAGCTCTTTTCCTAGTCAGGACAAATTTCTACTGTTATAATCCCAGTTACCTTTTCCAGAGAAGCTCTCATCTCTATAAAGCACTGCTAAATAGTGAAAAACCTTCTGCTAAACTCAAGGTGTAGTTTCTAGCTGACCTTCTTGTATGAAAGTTCTACTTTCTAAAAAGCACATGGAAAGCTTACTGATGTCAGAGTCTAGTGTGGCCCAAACTGTGTATGCCTTTAAAAATAATTATATTTGATGAAGGGAGAATGAAGGGAATTGTTCAAACATGATTGGAATTATGTATTTATCACAGTTTGTCAGAGAAATAGAGAAAGAGGTTAGCCTTTTGGAAATGAGCACACAAAACCAACTAATTCAGCTTAATGTTAGGATTTATTTTTCTTTTACAGGAATTAAATTATAAGATTAAATCTGCATGAGGGCCCAGTTCCTAGAAATGTATAAAATCTGAAAGTATCACAGGAGAGAGAGTATTATATACACTATTTCACACAGTATCAATTGTGAGTTTTTGCAGCAATACTCCAGTATTCATCCAACTTCTACTCTACCAGGCCTGTTTATGACTGCTTCAAACGCCAGGAAGAGGCTCCATGCCCTGTCTTGGTCCATTCCTCCTTACACGTAGTCCGTATTAAAGTCATAGGCATCATCCTCATCTGCTGTCTTATCCACGATGAAGGGCAGTGTGGGGGAATGACTGCCCTCTGGAGGAAAAAAAAAGGAAATTAATCTCTTAATGAAACCAATGCAAGTGCTAAGAATGCTAGAGGTTATTTTCAGAGACTTGGGTTTTAATACAGACCTGCTGCTATCTGTGCTTCTGGATTTGTTGGCTGTGGCTTTTCAAGCTTTGCTTTCCCAATCACCTGAGTGTTGTTCTCCTATGACAAGTCAGAGTTCAACAATATGAGCATCCTTGCACAAAAAAAATACTAGTGATGTCCAAATGAAAGAGGTGCTGACAGTGCACGTGTCCCTTTGTACAGCTGAAGAGGAACGCCCTGCATTTGATTTGTTACCGCTGACCAGAACAAAGTTCTGTTTTTCCTTAATTAAGCAAAGAAATTCCAACCCTCATATCTAGGAGTAGAACTCAGCACTTTCTTGCAGTGGCTCCATTGTCTACATGTGCTTAGTTTACAGCTGGATACTGATAGGAGACTTGGTCCCAAGGTAGATGAAAACTTCATGAAACCCTGACTTACCTCTTTGATGCTCTGTTCATCTTCCTCCATATTGTCTTGATCATCATCACTTTCAGTGAAGTTCTCTTCCTCATCCTCCTCCTCCTCCTCATCTTCCTCATCTGTTTCCAAGTTCTTATGCTCTGATGCTTTCTCTACCACTTTATTTTCCTCTATTGTCCCATTTGTCACTCCTGCTGACTGGAAACTGATGCTGCTCGCCAGATTGGGGTACTTCAGAGCTGGGAAAAGGATGGGAAATGTCTATTAAAAGTCACTGCAGGAGACAGCACCAGATGCAGTGTCTGTCCCTTACAGAAAGGCCACTTTAGCCCAGGGCTAGAAAGACAGCCCTGTCCCGTCCCCTCTTCTCCTCTGGCTAGATCAGCACTTCAATATGAACACTGCAATAAAGCAGAATTCTCCCAAAGAACAGCTTTTACAGGAGAGAGGTGCAACCTGAGCTAGGTCAGGGAAGCAGAAAGCAAGCACTAGCAGGGGTAGTTCTGCTTCTCTATGATGGCATAGAGCTGTATAGCTCAGTTGCTCAGTCTATTTTTTTCTCAAAAGGTTTATGTCCACTCTATACTGGCAAAGTTATCCCACAAACCTACAGAGACTTCCATTCGAAGTGTTCCATCATTACTAACTCTTAACGGTAACTGTGCACTAGAGTAACAAGTCCTACCTTTAACAGTGATGGTGTTTTCTTCTTCTAGCTTCTTTAAATTAAAAGCCTTCTGCATTTCTGCTATTTTATCTTCTGTAAGATAAGGAGGTAGTCTCTGCTGTTCTGGAGGTTGTGAGTGGTAGCTTATTTTAGCTCTGTGAAAATAAAATATCACCATTTAGAAAGCAACCAAAGGTAACACGGTTAAGTAAGTGTGTTTAGAAATAAACACCCAGAGCAGAACCCTCTCAAATTGCTAACACTGGCTATAGGATAGCATGCAACATGCTTTGACTCTGCGCATAGACCATTTGCTACTTTAGAAAACTATAAATGGATGGTGTTCTCTAAAGCCATTAGCTAATCTAGCTCCTTTTCTTGAAGTAAGAGGCAGAAAAAAACCTAAAAGCAGCCTCTTTTCTAATCATACGTGTTAGCTCTCAGAGCTTCTGCTTGTGTAAGCACAGTGTTGGATCACAGTGTGAAAAGATGAGCAGCATAAAGCAGAATCGACACCATACGTACCCCGTCCAGTCACAAAGCAGTAGCTTGGCAATACTCTCTGTGTCAGGAACGCCTCCCTTCTTCAGCATGCCCCTTTTCTGAGCAAGTAGAGTTAAAAACTCCTCCGTACTCCTGAAGTCGGGGATGCTGTAAAATAGTATCACCTACCACAAAAGAAAATTCATCTGCAATTCACCTTTACCAGTGGGCTTATGAATACAGCATATTTTTGTAAAGAGCAACTAAACGTGGAACAGGATGGAAATTAGGCTTATGTTGATCTAACTGAAACAAGAGTGAGATCAGAGTTGGATCTGAAGTCTTCACTGCAATAATAAGAAACCGGAGAAAGGTCATCATTTCTCACTCCATTTCTGATATAATCTGGTTAAGTCTCAAAAGCATTTTCTTTCTAAATCTGAGAAGTTATTGACAAAATGGCAAAGATCATGTGTGTGTTGGACACAACAGCCAAAGTTTGCCTCCTTGTGTGGGTAATACACAGGTGCTGAATGCAGTGCAGGAAGTGAAAAGGATGATGGACTCACCTGCTGTTTGTTGCAGTGGCTTATGAGGGCATCTATTCCTTCAAATACGTTTGCCAAGCCTGATTCCTCAGTGTCTATGATGCTTCTCAGGGCCAAAGCCAAGGTGCTGTTGGAAGGATCTGCTACAATACTTGGACTGTCTAAAATCTTCATCTGTTTATCAACAGGCACAACTTGCATGGACCTATGGAGACAAACGTGCTGCAAGTAGAAAAATTGGCCAGTAAAAGATTGCCTAAGCAAGCAAGCAAGACACAAAGCTCAGGGTTGGATTGAATACGCTTCACACGGAGTCAGCTTTTATGCTTTCTCATCATATGCTTTGTGTATGACAGAAAATGAAACATTAATTTTGAAAGCAGAAAAGGGGAAGGTTCTTCCATGACACCTTGGATGTACAGGTGTATGTCTTTTATCCTGGCAAATTCAGATGTGCATTTAAAGCTGCATAACACAAAAAAGCATAGAAACTACACACAAGCAGTAAACAGACTCGAGGTAATTGGAAGACGGCTACAAACATGAGCAGCTTTGATCAGTCAGCTTACTTGGTAACACCTCTTGCTGGGCCAACGTTGCAAGCACGAGCTCCTTTAAGGCCATTGATTATGCTGCTCTTCCCCACGTTAGGAAAACCTGAAGAAAAACATAGAAATCCTCAGAAATAAGAAAACTCGGCCGTAACTCGACAGTAACCACAACTGCCTTTTGCAGGTATCTTTAGTATAAAATGTACATATTCAGTGTGAGATCAGAGTTGGATCTGAAGTCTTCACTACGTAAGTAAGACAAGCTGTGTATCCTCATTTCTCACACTAAAAGTAGAAGGGACGTGAAAGAAATTATTGAATGGGAGGAAGGCAATGCAGGCTGGGTGACATACAGCCTGCCCATCGTGTTTATTTGAGCTAGGCCTTATCAACTTAGGCCTTAGATGCTGTTATTTTTCACAGATCACATTCCACAGATCACACACATTAAGTGCAACATACTTAAGTATTGCAACAGTGAGCCTCTGATACAAGAACAAATGCTGACTAGAAGGCCTAAAAGCATCTCTCAGCCTCAGGTAAGAGGTTGCACGTTAATGGTTTTAATATCATACAGTTTGCAGTACAGGATATCAAAATTTTACAGAAGAAAGAAACCCCTTTCATCTCTCCAGTCCTTACCTACTACCCCAACCTGAATGGCTTTGTTTTGAGTCTTGTAGTGCTCCTGAAGAAGTTTCAAAAGGCACTCGCTTCCAAAACACTCAGTGTTTTTGGATAAATCAATACGTGCACTTCTTTTTGTAACCTTCTCCTGCTACAGGATCCAAAGGCAAAAAATAAGAAAAAAAGGTCAATAGCTATTTAGGAAGGTAAATAAGTAGGTTTCACTTGTCTGCATTTTACTTCTAAGCAGAAGGAAGCAGTTTAGTAAGCAGTTGGTTAAGATGATTCTGGAAGTTTAGTAATGGTAGAAAACATAGGCATCAAATATTAAGAGAAAAGAATGTGAACTGACTCAAGGCTCTTTTATTTCAGTTCACAACGTGTTGCAGATTAGTTGTGTGGCTATCAAATAGTTATATACATTCAGACTGTGTAATCCTTTAATCTGCAAATTCCCTCAAGAGACTGATCAATTGTTTGAAGGATTTTCTTATTGCTTAACCTCTCTGTCACGAGCTTCTGCATTGCTTGGCTTGAAGATCTATTTCACTCTGCTGTTAAAAGAATTAGTGTGCGTGTGGGGCATCATGTGTTAGTGTCTGTAAGACTCAAACTAGTACCATCTTCACAGGGTGCAGACAGGGAGCTAACTTAGTCACATTCTTCAAGTAATGCCAGGTGCTACACCTCGTGATGGCCAAGGTCAGAAAGGATACAGTAGAGTAAGTCAAACCAGTTTTCTTTCATGTAAAGATGCTAATGTAACTGCTGCAACCTCCCTCTATAGATGAGAAATTCCTCATCTTCCTCCTTTCAGTGTCCTCGCAGTAAAAAGACCCATTTTTACTCTCCTACAACAGCAGAACCTCCCCTACTCTATCAGGAAGCTTAGTCAAAGCATGAAGGCAAATCCATCAGTCAGTGGTGTAAATCAAACACGGGAAAAATAGCTTAAGGAATGGGAGTTCCTGATTATCAACGTTTCAACCCATGAAAGACCCTCTAGTGCTCTTACCATATTTTTATCCTTGAGCAGTGTTGCTGATTTAAAAGCAACCGTTGGAAATTCATTTTTCAGATAATTCAACCATTTCTCTAGGTTCTCCTTTGGCACTAAATCTAGAAAATAAAAATAAAAAAAGGGCATGGTCCTTTCACTCTCCTGAACGTTCAATATCATTCCTTGGAGTAAATCTAACATGGAACTGGGAACCTGGCGATATTTTGTCTGTTTAGTACATTTTCTTATGATACACAATGTTTGACTGAAAAGCTGGTAGTTTTTTCACTCCACATGTAGCTCTAGTGAAATAACAGGCACGTTTCCCCAAAATAAAAATGCACAATTACATTTTCAGCTATTGTATTAGGTTTTTAAAGTTGGTATTTTGCTAGGAGACTTTGCATGATAAAAGGGGAGATGTTATGTGAAGAATTATGCCATCATCCTTGCAAAGGCAACTCTAACAAAGTTCCCTTTGCTCTTATTATTTCCTGGGTTTACAGCGGATAATAAGTTACTGGCCTTTTTAGATGTTTTCAACTGTTTGTGTGGATTCTTCCATACAGACATTGGAGAAAGAAAATGCTACCCAAAGCCAAACCTCCAACACAACTACCCTGCTGATTTGCTGATGTTTAATTCACTATTGCCTCACTCGTGACTATTATCATGACCTCTGCCTAGCCACCTATTTTCACAATATGAAGTACTGCAAAATCTCTAACTTTGTGAGATTTGACAAACTGGACAGCAGGTTCAAACATCACTGTGAACAAAGAAAGAGCTAACATGAAATTAGTCTTTTTTTAAAGAGACTTAGACTAAAAGTTGGGGCAAACGTGACCCCTTCAACAGCACAGTGAGCTCAGAGTTGGATCTTATGTCTTCAGTGGAAAGTCAGATTCCTTTGAAGTTGTCTTCATAGCTCACCTGACAAAACCACCCACTGACTAAATAACACGGCCAGAAAACTGATGTTTCTTACCAATTTTGTTCAGAACCAACAGCAGCTTTTTGTCTTGTCTAGAGCAAACAGCTTGTTCCAGTTGAGGACATCGACAGCCCAGTGGATCTCTTGCATCCAAAACCTCTAGAATCACGTCTGAGGCCTCAATCACCTAGATTAGAATAAAGATATTAACTCTAGAACAGACTGAAAGATTGAAATCCTCAAAATTTCTAATAAAATTGCTTATCTCAATGTTGAAGTTTATCACAAAGATCCTTTATAGCAGTTGCAAGGAAAATGGTTTCATTGCTGATTCTCACCAAATTATATGAAAATAGTTGAAATATCTCACCTTCTCGAGCTCCCTGCAAAATGACTTTGATGAATTTTTATCCAGCAGCTTGTTTTTCTTTGCTCCAGATTTCCTAGAAGATTCCTAAATACATATAATGATGAAAGGAAATAGTTTGAAAGAAAAATAGTGTATTATACACTATACTTTTATGGTTGTACAGCAGCAGGTTACAGCTACAAACTATGTTTGTATACATGGCTTTAGAAGATGATGTTTTAGAATACCTTTATGCCTTCTACAAGCTTCAAAGAATCAAAATCTTACCAGACATACCTTTCCCTCTGTGTTTTCTTTGATTTTGGCTGCATTCTTTTTAGCATCGAGTTTTCTCTTCTTCTCAAGTTCCTTCCGTCTGTCAAGCTTCTGTTTTTGTTTTAGTTCTTCGAGCTGATTGCAAATAAACAAAAGCCAAGATAAGTTATACCACCTTCTAAGGAAGTAAGGAAGTCTTCTGGATAATCATGAAATGTCCAGACATAACTTCTAGGCTTCTGATGGAAGAGCCCATCTTAATTACCTTATCTGAGGTAATTCCAGTTTTATTAGAATTGACACTTCCAGGAGGTTCGCAGTTACTATACAACTTACACAATGATGAAATGAGGTTAAAATAAGGGGAAGTTGTGACACACAGTATAACACTGCAAATGAAAAAGATGTAATTTTTTCCAAGTCTGTATCTCCTAAGAGTATTTACAGTCTAATAGGATTGCATCTTTGGGTTTGTATGCGCATGCCCACATACAAAGCCTCCTTACAGGAATGTTCCCTGCTCTTCTTCTCGCTAGTGTTTTATTATTATTATTATTATTATTTTTACCCTCTGCTTTCTTTGCTCAGCTTCACGCAGAAGCTCTTCCTTGAACGGGGCAGCGCTGGGAATCCCTGGATCTTTCCTGGGCCTTTTGCGTCCGCGTTTCTTGGCCTCTTTTCGCAGTTTCCGGTGGTGCTCTCTGATCTGCAGGCAGGAACAAGAGCATTTTTCTCAGTGGGGGCTAACTCGCCCAAGGGAGAAAAAAAAAAGAAAGAAATCTCTCCTTTTTACAGATACTGGAAAAAAAAATATATAGCCCCGTGTCCCGCCGGCTTACCTTCTTCTGGATCTTGTAGCGCTTGTGGCAGCTCAGCCGCTTGCTCGCCTTCTTCAGCTCTGCAAC